CACATCCACGGAGACAGAAAACATTAGTGTTGTCAGGAGCTGAGGAGGTGGTAATAGAAAGTGTCTGTGTAGTGGATGTTTTTGGAAGTTGAAGAAAATGTTCTGGAATTAGTGATGATGGCAACATGAGCTTGTATACTTTAAAACACTAAGTTGTACACTTTAAAAGTATTAATCACCTGGTACAGTGACACACATCTGTAGTTCCAGCTACTCAGGGACTGAGGCAGGATGATTCTAAGTTTGAGAGCAGGCTGGACAACTCATGGAGACCTTGTCTCAAAATAAAAAATGAAAAGGTCTGGCGATACAGCTCAGTGGGAGAGTAACCTTGAGCTGAGTCCCCAGTACTGGAGGGAAAAGGTGAATTTTATATGTGTGTGATATGTCAATGTAAACAAAATATGGCAGAGTTTGTGAAGATTTATCTTAAAAATCTAATTTTGCACAATATGTACATATTAATATTTGAAATATAAAAGTATGCCTAGTTAAATATATTATAAAGTAACTGTGTTATGAGTTCTTCAACTAAATGACTTTCATAATATGGGAATACAGGTAGACATTTGATCCATGAAACACATTTTGGATTTAAAAAATCTCTTTCTCTTGAGATGCTCACAACACACACACACAAACACATCATTTATTCTTTTTTTAAAAAAATCAATTGCAGTAATCTTAAATCACCCCTAACTACTTTAGGGTTTATTTTTAAAGATCAGGGCTATTCTTTAACAAAACACAGTATAATTATCAAATTGAGGAAATTTAACATGGATATATTAATATCTAAATGATAATCAAGTTTGCCAGTTGTCTTAAGCTTGTTCATAGTAACTTGTTTTCTGCACCCGGTATCATTTAGTTGTCAAATCTTGGTTTCTTTTGATCTGAAAGAGTTCCTCAGCATTTTGTTTTGTTTGTTTTGCTTATGAGTTTATGAAGTGCAGGACTGTTTCATTTGGGTTTGTCTGATAGTTTCCTCCTGATATGATTTAGGTTGTCACGTTTTTGAAGGAATACTGCCTTAATAATTTCCAGGGGCTGCTCTAACAAATTACTAAAAACTTGGTGGCTTAAAGAGCAGAATTTTATTTTCTCACATCGTTAAGGCTGTAGATCAAAGTGTTGGCGGGCCCCTCGCTCCCTGAAGACTCTGGGGAAGAATTACTTCTTGCCGTCTCTGGCATTGGTAGTACCAAGCTTCCTTGGCTTGTGGCCACAGATCTCCAGGCTCACCTCGTTCTTCACGTGTGCTTTTCTCTCCTGTGTTCTCTTTTTATAAGAGGGTTCATTGGAGTTTGGGTCCATCTGATGAATTCGGGATAATCCCGTCTCAAGATCCTTACCTTAGTTACTCTCCAAAGACGCTGTTTCTAACAAAGTCACAGCCACAGTTGTGGATTTTCCGCCACGTGTGGTGGTACACGTCTTGTATCAGTCAGGCTTTACTAGAGTAACAGACATGATACAAGATAAACAAATGTACAAGGAATTACAAGTTTGGCTTACAATGATCAGCTACAGAGTTGGATGAGGAAGCGTGCAGAGGGTGTCTGCACGCTGGAGATTGAAGAGCCCAGCCGCGGGCCTGGAGCTCGCTGCAGTGTCCGCGCAAGTCCGTATCAAAAGGCTGATGGGTCTGCAACGGAATGCTGAAGAATCTATGACGAAGGCCGGAGAGCCAACACCAGAAGGCTGAAGAGTCCAGACGGAAGCCCAATAGTCTGCACCAGAAGCCAGGAGACCACCGAGCTGAAGGCGAAGACCTGAGCTCCTCCGCAGAACCAGCGGCCAGTCCTTCCTCAATTCCTTTTATTATGCAGTCTACCCGCTCTGGGGAGGTGGGGGTGGTCCTCCACACCCACACCTTCTGCATGCCTGCCCCTTGCACAGGCTCAGGATGAATACAAAGTAAGCACCCTGGACCCCTTCTGAATTGCATAGTTAACCTTCTAAACTTCTCAAATTAACACAATAAACAACATCCCAGAAGGGTAAGGGCGTGTCCTTTTCACCCCGAGAGGCAGAACTGCTGAGTCACTTAGCCAAACCTCTAGACTCCCCAAGGTGGCACAATGTATCAACCATAACACGTCTGTAATCTCAGACTCAGGAGGATTGCCTTGAGCTTGAGACCAACCGGGGCTACATAGCTCAAGTCCAACCTGAGCGACAGAGGGAGACCCTATCTCAAAAGAGAAAAACAAGGTATGGGCATTCGGACTAGATGGTATTTTTTGGATCCACAACTCAACCCACTGCGTTACCCAAATGATGTTATGTCTCTCAAAGAATATTATTTGATCTTTCCAGACATGAGAAGAGCTACAAAAAATTAATGTGATTTAAATCATAAATGCTTATCAGAATTACAATTCAGATTAAATATTAGTTTTTCTTGCCTTCCCACATTCACTTCTTCCAGTGAGATTTCCAGCTTCTTTTTTTTTTTTTCTTTTTTTTTGTGGCACTGGGGATTGAACTCAGGGCCTTGTACATGCTCGGCAGGCACTCTACCACTGAGCTATGTCCCCAGTCCTTCCAGCTTCTAACATTATCAAAATGTACTCATTTGATCAATCCTATAATATGTACAAAAAACTCTCAGAATTTTAAAACCTGTATCATTACAAAAAATAAATTTCCCAAATAAGTTTCAAGGTTTCTTTGTAACTTTTCAGTCTTTGTCTAAAGTTATATAGCTAAATTCAAAAGCTGCTTGGATCAGTTCACCCCTACCTTTACATTCCTCTGCCTGTGTACTTATCAATTTCATACACTCTTTAATCATTTTGTTTCTCTCCTTCCCTCCTCTCTTGTTGGTTTGATTTTATTTTTATTGAATAATAGCATTTCAACATGATTCTAAAGTAAAAACTACATAGCAAGGGTATTTAGAGTGTCATTCCCTCCCATGTCCGCTCTGCCTCGGGCTTTATCCGTATTCCCTACTCTGATACACTCTTCTTGTGTGGTAGATATAACCATATATGTGTATATTTCATTTTGCTTCTTATACATAGAAGGTCAGTGACTGATATATCCGTGGTTCTTACCGGGGATGATCTTGATCCCAGTGGACGTAGGACAATACACAGACATCATTTTTAGCCACCACTGGAGTGATAGTGACATCTAGTGGGTAGGGACCAGGTGTACTGCTAAGTAGCCTGCAACATGCAGAACAGCTCTTGGCAATAATTGCCTAGTTCAGTGTCTTAGTACTGTTCTTGAGAAACCCTGTTATATATCGACTTTTGCATTTTATTTTCAGCTTCACAATATATAGTGGGCATCTTTCTATATCAATTCTGGGACCTTCCTTGTCTTTTTTATAGCTACATAATGGACATATATAGTTTATTCAGACAGTTGCCCTTGGGCATTTCAGTGTTTTTCGATCTTCTGCAGTTTCAACTAATGCTTTAATGAATAGTTCTATGCACTTTTTCTTTTTGGTATTTTTATAAGTGTATATTGTAAGTCAGTGCATAGAAGTAGTTATAGAGCAAATGCCAGGTCATGTTGCCAGATCTCATCCAAAGGTTGTATTATTCTGCATTTTCACCATACCACAAAAGCTCCTATTTTTCCTGTTGGCCAGTTAGAGGAGTGAGTTATCAAGCTGTTGATTTTGCCACTCTGATAAACCTGAAACTCAATATTATTTTAGTTTTCATTTTTCTTATTAAGGATGACATTTTTTTTCCTGTCTCTTTACACCGTTGAGCCAAACCCCCAAATTTTATCATGTTTAACCCAAAGAAATTTAAGGTACAAAGGCAACTGTTATCAAGTGCAGTAAGAATATAGATTTATTTCTCTGCTACAAATGTCAAATGATTTCTTGTGGAAACTTTTCTTGCATCTATGTCTCAATACATTTTTGTTTTTTGCTTTTCTTTTTGTCTTTTTGAGACAAGGTCTCACTATTCAGTTCAGGCTGGTCTTGAACTCATTTTGCAGCCTAGACTGGCCTTGAACTCACAACGATCCTCCTGCCTCAGTCTCCTGAGTGCTGGGATTACAGGCATGTGCCACCACACCCAGCTTTTTTATTTTATTTTTATTTTTATTTGCTTGTCTGTTTTTTGAGACAGAGTCTAAATATATAGTGCAGGCTGGTCTTAAACTCAGTAGATACCCCAAGCTGGCCTTGAATTTACAGCAGTCCTCCTTCCTCAGCCTTTCACGTGCTATTATAGGCATGTGCCAACATGCCCAGCTGAATAAGTTTTTATATATACATAACAAGATATTATTTTGCAGTGCCTGGCAGAGAAGTACTCATCAACAGGTTACAGACACAGTGCTACAAACGCAGGGTTTAAAGCTTGCTTTATGGTATTTTTATACAATGGAATATTACTCAGTTGTAAAGATAGATAAACTCAAGGCTTTTATAGGTGAATGGATACAACTACAGACCACACTTATAAGTGAAATAAATCAGACCCACATGTGTAAAACATTGTATTATCTCCCTAGTGTAAGAACCTGAAAGAGTAAATAAAACTGAAAGGTATAATAGATATTATGAAAGGAAAAGAAACTGCTTAATGGGAAAGAATAACTGGGATGAGGGAAAGAAGAAGAGAAAGAAGGAAGGGAAATATATATATACACACACATTCACACGATAGCTAAGATAATTGTACTACTAATTTCTGTTGGTTTATTGAAAGGAATAGGTAATGATCAATCTTCATACCTATATCTGGTAACCTGAGCACTACTTTGAAAGTAATAAGTAATACAACAACTACTGTTGATTTCCTATCATCTTGTTTTGAAATTCTGTATCATTTTTGTAGTTTTTGTGTTGTTTTGTTTTTGTCTTTGTTTTCGTTTTGTTTTTGTTCTTGTCTCTTTACAATAAAAGAAGTTGAAGAAGCTCGCTTTATTATTTTCAGATAACCAGAATGTCACACTGACACCTGATGCTTGTAAGTGACTGTGCCCTTGATCCTTGTACGTTCGCTGTTTTACAGACCGTATATGTCTCTTGGAAGCCTTCGGGATCAAGTCATTTACCCTGACTCAGTGGAGGATATGCATGGTAAAGGTTACACAGACCAGGATTTGGAGTGTATTCTACACAGTGTCCACCTGTATCACATAGTTCAAAGAGAAGGAGGTAGACCCATCATTTTTTAAATGCGTGTAACTTCTTTTTAAAGATAAATGGATCTATATGTAGTTTATGGTTTAATTTGAATATATATGACCATTGCAACATAAACTCTCAAAAACGAGTTGCAATGCTTTTCCACTACTGACAGCCCCTTTCGGGCTTGTATTATATTTGTCCATTCCTCAGTGGATGGGCATTTAGGGTGTTTCCAAGATTTAGCTATTACAAATTGTGCTGCTATAAACAGGTGTAAACATGTATCCCTGTGGTATGATGTTTTCAGTTTTTCTGGGAAGATAACAAGAACAGCTGGGTAGAATGGGACCTGTAATCCTAGCTTTCTGAGGAAGCTCAGCACTGATTTCCACAGTGGTTGCACCAGTCTGCATTCCCTCCAACCATGGAGAACAGTTCCTTTTTCCCCACAGCCCCTCCAGTATTTGTTATTGGTTGATTTCTTGATGGTGGCCATTTTTTCTGGAGTGCGATGGAATCTCAGTGTTGTTTTAATTTGCATTTCTTGAATGACGAATGATATTGAACATTTTTTCGGGTATTTGCTATCTGCATTTCTTCATCTTTCTTCATTTTTGGATTGGGTCTTTAAATTTCAGGGTTCTGATTTTTTTTTTCAATTCTTTATATGTTTTTTGTCTCAAGGACAACTGGCTAAAAGTTTTTCCCACTTTGTGGGTTGTCTTTTCACTGTTGGTGATTTCTATTGCTGTGTAAAAGCTTTGTAATAGTATGAAATCTCAGTTGTATTATATTTGATGTAGCTTACTAAGTTATCAAATCTCCATGGTACTGCAGTTAGCATATAAAAGGATTTTTTTCTTTTATATTGAAATATACAAGTATCCCTGAAACCAAAACCATTCTAGATCTGTGTAAAATCTATGAGAGAAATATTCACCTGCCCAGCTCTCTGTTCATATTAAATGCAATAATTTCATAAGTGATTGTCACAGAACTTTCTTCTCATTTTCAGTCCCATAATTTTATCAGCTCAATTTTTTCTTTCTCTGAAGCATCATAAAATAATGTATACAAGCTTCTATAATGTGCTTTTTATCAGAATATGAGATTTTGGAAGAACATGTTGGGGGCTGGGGATTTAGCTCAGCGGCAAAAGCGCCTGCCTGGCAAGCGCAAGGTCGTGAGTTCAGTTCCCGGTACCGGAGAAAAACCAAAAAACCAAAAAAAAAAAAAAAGAAAGAACATGTCATTATGCATGTATGTTTAAATTATTATTTTCTAAAATATAATCACACTTTGAAATAATTTGATAATTCATAATTTGAGAGCCTAGAAATAGCACTGAAATAACAAGCCAGATTTCCAGGTTTAATTTGCATGGCTTGTATGTTCCATTTCACAGTCCGTTTACACTATCAGTAGCAGCAGTGCGGTAGATTGAGAATATGGCTTTGAACTCAGAGTTCTAGGATCAAATCATAGCTTCCACCACTTTCTGTATCTTAAAGTGAAAAACAGGGATAAGTAGATTTTGTAAGGTTTTTGAGGTTGTATAAGAGTATAGCTGAAGGATTTAGCACAATGACACATGAATACACAAAAGTTAATAATGAGTGGCTCTTTTACATTGATGATGTTGGTACTAAAATATTTTGTCTTTGATGATATTTAATATTTTACATGACAACTTCTATATATTATTTCATTTGTTGCTTATAATAAGCAAGTGAAGCAGAAAAGAGAGATGTTATTATACTGATTTTTACGGTGTTTGCAATTTCTACCATATAAGAAATGCAGATTGTCTTATTGTTTTATATGATCATTTTCTTCCTGATTACAAAGTACTGTGGCAAAGTAAATATTACATCTTTATTTTGGGCAAGATAGAGCTGGGGATATAGCTCAGCAGCACAAGTGCCTACCTGGCGAGCTCAAAGTCCTGAGTTCGATTCCCAGTACCAAAAATAAAAAAGTAAATATCTTGGACAAGTTATTCGGAGTAGGTTTAAAATCCAATAATCCAAATAGAAATTTAAAATAAAGATATTCTGTTCTTTTGAAAATCATGAAGAAGCTCTAGAACTAGTTTTATAAATAATGCAAACCAGACTGTCATACTCTCATGCCTAGGGCAGGTGATACAAGGTGTATGCTCCCCTACCCCATTTTAGAAAGAAGAATGTTCCAACTTAATAACTATAATGGTTATGGTTTATTTAGTGTTTATAATGCAGAATATTAAACAATTCATATATGTTATTTCATTTAATATTCATATTAGTCCACCAATGTAGGTTTTATTATCCCCATTCTACATATTGAATTCAGGTTAGTAGAGTCCTATAATTAGTGGCAGCACAGGAAATCACAGATCTGACTTTTAAGTCACTGTTTATTGCTAGGCTAGGCTATGTGCTGTGCTACCTCATAGCTTTTTAGACGTTAATAAGAACTACTATATCCTCACATATAAAAATTTCCCAAGGAAATTAATTTTACTTGCTTAATCCTTAAACAGAAAACATTTAAGCAAAGCCAGAAAAATACTTCAGTGTGTAAGTACATCACTTACTTTGGAAGAAGCCTGAAGTTCTTTTTAGATTAGCTCATCTTTGCTTAGTAAAGAATGGAAATCAGAACTTCATTTCAGCCCATCAAAAGCTTCCAAACTATGAAAGAGTAGACAGATATAAACTAAAGAAGTTTGTGCAACTCTGAGAAGCAAGAAAATAATTTTCTTCTAAGCTGGCTCAGTCTCAGCATCAAAGACCTTATGACTCAAGAGTTCTGATTTATGTGTTATTGATCACACAGTACTGTTCATGAAACCCGTAGGGTGTAGTAGAACAAAGAACATGGTTTATTAAAGCAGCCAAAGTTAAACTTTTCTTTGGCTCAGATGCATTTCTGTGCCCTGTTCTTAGTGGTCAGGGGAAAAGTATTTTAAGCTTAGACTATTTCTCCACTGTGTAGCAATCTGAATCTATTTTTCACATCATCACTTATATTTTGTAAATACTATAAAATTCAGTCACAGTGAAAGTATTATTTCAGCAGATTTCCCCAGCAGCAGGAAAGATTTTCTCCTAAAGTTACATGGCTATATTTTTACATAGATAAATTCTGGAAGTTTACTCAAGAAAATGAATAGTGATTTACTTTGGAAGGTAGAATTGAGAGGGTCATTGGGAAATAAGGGAGAGCCTTTTACTCCAAATACTTTTGGTTTTATTATTTTTAATATATTTCTTTATTTAATTTTTGGAATAAGTAATCCTTTCACATTGTGCAAAAATTAAACATATTCTCCAGAATTTTTCTCCTATTCTTCATCTGGTTGTCAGGCACCCATTAATAGATAACCACTGTTTTTAGTTCTTATAATTTTAGACTTACAATGCAGTGAACTTTGTAATAATTTTTAAAGGAAAAAAGATATTAAGAAACACAGATGTGCCCCCTGCGTTTAACAATAAATATATTTTTCTCTCAAAGGTTCTGAACTTTTGGATATTAAAAAAGAATCCCATATTCTTCTGATCAGAAAATGATAAAATTAATCATTATGATAATTTGTCCTCTCAGATACCCAGGGAACAAGAAAATAAAGGCTTCTTTTTCCTTCCCTTTAAGCAAGTTGTTTATAAATTTTAATAATGACGAAAGGTCAGCCGAGAGAGAAATATGAAGGCAAAAAAGCATGGAATTTTTCTCAGAATTACGTCCCAAATACTTAGGATTTGGAAATGTTGCCCTAAGTATTTGTCAAGTTTTGACAGTCCTATTCTTTGAAAATCAGGCACTGTAGGAGTGGGACCGTGGTTTTATTTTTAGTTAAGATAGGTTGCTCAGATAAAAGTATAAAAACATTAGGCTGAGAAATGAACCTTTTCATTGATAGCTAACTGTTAATTTAAGATATGTCTGTTACTCAGTAAATTTTGAATTCCTCACTGATCTATGTAATACTTGTATAGAAACAATAGTATCTATTTTATAAGGAATATAATACATACTGAAGAACCTTACGTGAAATGTCAGGCATATGGGTGCCATTTAAATTAGGTCCTCTCTTAGCCTTCGTAGGCCTTGCAATTTACATATGCAGGTTTGTTATCACTTCTTCCACCTCCCTCCAAAATAAGTAGAAGTCCACTGACCTTTCTGTTTTACTTAGAACCAAGCACAGCTTTTAAGGGTCAGTGTTTAGAATTCTTAAGATTTGTTATTGCTGGGCGTGGTGGTACGGATCTGTAATCCCAGCACTCAGAAAGCTGAGGCAGGAGGATCACTGCAAGTTTGAGGCCTCCCTGGGCTCCATAGTGAATTCAAGGCCAACCCAAATTCCTGAGTGAGGCCCTGCCTCAAATAATGATTTGCCATTATAATGAATGGTTACAATTAAAAGATTATCTAATCTAAAACAAAATGTTTAGACATGAAGCCGTGTAGTTTGTCCAAAGGTATATTTTGCAAAATACTAGGTTCTTCATGTTAACAATTAGGCCTTGCCAGAAATCATTTGTCTAGCGTAGAAAAAGTAATAATTCAACAAAATATCTATCCCCCCCTTTTTTTTTAGGATGGGATGCTGTTATGGACTGGAAAGATGTCCTATCAGGAGGCGAAAAGCAACGAATGGGCATGGCTCGTATGTTTTATCATAGGTAAGTATACTATGTTCGGGTAGCTCCTCTTACGCTATAATAGCCAAAACAAGAGCCACTGCTTTTATCTTAACTTTGAAATATCTTAAGTGTGGTATTTACACACAAAGGAGGGCTACTTTGCCGTAAAGAAGGATAAACTTGAGTCATTGGTAGAAAATGGATGTGCCTTGAGACCATACCGTTACGTAAAATAAATCAGTTCCATAAGCTGAACCAATACATGGTTTCCCTTATATGAGAAACCCTAATTATAAAGAGCAAATGCATGATCTAAGGTATGAAATTGGGAGACAGATCATGCTCACCGGGCAGGAGGATCAGGAGGGGAGGGGGAGGGCGGGGGAGGGCGGGGCAGGGGCGGCAAGAGGGACTGCACGTGCTCTGTGCACGCACAGCTCCACACAAGGAGTGTGAGCACCGTGGGCCGCACGCAGGCACCAAGGAACAGCTGACGGAAAGACGAGTCCTCAAAGTGTACACTGTGAAATGTCTTGTTTTGTTTTGTTTTGTTTTTCTTTTTGAGACAGGGTCTCGCTATGCAGTTCAGGCCTTGAGCTCACTTGGTAGCCCAAGCTGGTCTCGAACTCACAACGATCCTCCTGCCTCAGCCTCCTGAGTGCTAGGTTATTTTTTTTTCTACTTCTTCCGTGTTGAGTAACCTCTGATGAAATAATGTACAGAGGGCCAAATTAAATTTTTAATGTATGCTGAGGTTTAAGGTGGGATTACTAGTAACTTCAGAATGTGAAGAACACATAGCCACTATTATGCTAGTGTAAACTTAGTAGGTAGGCATTCAGGAATACCTGTGAATGAGATTAGTAAATTCAAACTAAATAAACTTTCCAACCATTCAGTAACCTCTTAAACTAATATCGCTCACTCCTTCACAAGTCAAAGGCTTATACCCAGTGGAATAACGAATCAGCCCACAGGGAACTTAGTGGATTCAGAAAAGTCAGGATGCAGGAGTTAATTTCTTTGTTAAAACTTTTCCCTTTGTAACACCAGCTTCATAGACTTTTGAGTTTAAGGATACCAAGCACAAGACATGGGAGAGAAATAGGAAAGCCTTCTGATTCCTTCCTCTTAGTTGTCCTATTCTCTAAAAAAGAAATACCTCCCCTGCCACGCCCTCTCCCTCCCCCTCCCCCCCTCTCTTTCCCCCAACTCTCTACCTCCTCCACCTCCTCTCCCCTCTCCTCCCCCTCCCCCTTTCCTCCCCTTCCCTCCCTCGTCCTCTCCTTTCTTTTCCTTCCCTCTCCCTGTCCCTCTTCTCTCTCCCTCTCTCTTTGCTTAGGTCTCTAGCAGTAAGAACCTGAATTGTGTCGAGCATAAAGTTATCGAGAATTATCTTAGTCATTTTCAGCACTCAAGGAAACAGGCATTGTGCCGTAATTTGGGGCAGAGTCAACATTATCAAATGAGTTAGAGAGCAGCCGTTTCTACTTGCCTAGAGAACTGTTTAAAGAAACCAGTGAAGAGCGAAACAGATCTCAGCTTCTCCTTCCTGAATGCTTAGAAACTAGTTGCCATCATCTAAAAGACACTTTAGGTTTGGAAAAATTCGAGGACTTCATCAGAAGAGGGGGTGTAAAATGAGCTGCTTATTCCCATTGCAGTGGCTCCAAACGCCCAACACAGTGTGTGTCATGCTTGATTTACCTACTCTTCTTTTTTTTTAATTCCTGAGCTAGTTTTAAGCAAGTCAAAGACATTGTGAACCTTCACCCCTAACCACTTGGGTATAAATGTCTGAAATATTAGGATATTTTCTTACATACTGACATGTCATAAGCATACATAATTAAACTGATAATTATTTAAAGTTATCTAACACCTGCTTCATATTGTTTTTCTAATGGTTAAAAACCTGTTTATATTTGATTTGTTCGAACTAAGATCTAAGTTTCACATTTTTAATTTTATTATCCCTTGATTCTTTTTTGAGCTTTTTTTATTTTATGAAAAAAGTGATTCTTTTTTAAAGAGTCCCTTTTTCCCTCCCCCCACCACCTTTAAAGTCACTGACTTGAAGAAGCTAGGTCGGTTGTCACACTGAATGGCGCACATTCCAGATTCCTGTGAGGGTTGCATGACATCCTTTGACTGTTATTCCTCTTCCTCCCATTTTTCTTATAAACTAGAAATTAGAACAAAAAGCTTGATTAGATTTACATTCAGTTTTTGTATGACTGTAACATAGAATATATGATTTAAACATTCCATTAAAATATAATTTTCTGTTATTTTATAAAAGTAGAAAAGGTAGATAAAAAGAATTAAAAATTTTGTTAACTATAAAAACACTATTAAAATTTTTGATTAAATTTTTTACCAGTCTTGGTACACAAAAGTTGATTACAGACTTGATCATTTTAATGTAACTATTTTCATAAGGCATATTGTAACATATCCTTTTATTTTATATGCTATTATGTATCTTTCTGTATTATTATGTAACAGCTAGCCAGGGTTTATTATTTTGTTTAAAAATTATGTACCAAATGTATACATTTTAAGCAGTTAAATTATTTTTGATAAATGTATGCACATTCTGTAACCAATACCTGAAATAAGATAGAGAACATTTCTGTTCTTCCAGAAGATTTCCTCCCGCCCATTTCTGATGATATCCGCCCCCCAGAAAACTTTTGTTCTGATTTCAGTCATCAAAAATTAATTCACCTGTTTTATAACTTCATATCAGTGAAACCAGATAGTATATATTTTCTTGTCTAGCTGGAATTTTATAGTGAGAAAAATTATGAGTTGTGTAAATATAATGCTACTCGTAATAATGCACATAGTTTAAGAATATGATGAGTTAAGAAAGTACAAACCAAGTTTTGCTCAAAAATTTTAGTGAAGTGTATTTTGGAATGCTGCTTTCTCTGATGAGATTCAAGAGTAAACTTTACGCTTAGCATTGATGACCCGTTGTTACCCTGGTCACCCTGAATGTGTTCGGGCCTTGTCCATAGATATTCAGTAATGTGATCTCCAGCATAGCTGGTGAAAAGCGATATGATGTAAAATGAGACCATGCATTTCTCGGTGTGTTAAGATAAGCCTGGCAATAAAGAGCAAGATGCATCAATAAAATATCGTTAACCCAAAGAGGTTTTAAGTGCCTGTAATTTAGAATAAATAACTGAAATTTTGTGCATGTAACATACTGTGGGTAAAATGTGATAATAAATTATGATTGAATTATGAGAATATAAATGGAAAAAAAAATTTGTGAACCATAGTAGGATCAATGAAAATGTAAGATCAATAGAAAGTATCTGTTGAAAAAGCAAGAAGAGAGGTAAAGGAGAAAAGATAAAAGGTATTTTAAAATTAAACCCAGTGAAGGAAAGTATAACATTGAGGAACTACCTGCTGTATTCCTCCAAGCATTAACAATACGGTTTTGTGGGGCTGGGGATTTAGCTCAGTGGCAAAGCGCCTGCCTGGCAAGCGCAAGGTCGTGAGTTCGGTTCCCGGTACCGGAGAAAAACTAAACCAAAAAAAAAAATACGGTTTTGCACTGTACCATGGAAGACTGGAGAGGACAAAACAGAGCACTTGGCAGGGAGAGGTACACATTGCCACCGTGTGCTCTGCGGGGATTTTAATTTTCACAGTTAAAGAATGACCATAGAGTCCTGCCTTGAGGGGGATGGATTGGGTCCTTCTTAAATCCCGTTCTCTGGTGATGTAGCAAAGGAAAAAGGAAAGAAAACCTGAGAAGCTGTACTGTCTAATACTTCATTTAGTCACACCAGTAGCAGATTCCAGCTATATTCCTTGATGTGCTTAAGTGGGCATGTGCGTGCGCGCGCACACACACACACACACACACACACACACACACGCACTCCTGCCAAGGAAACACAAGTATGTGATTTAATTTACATCTGCTAGACTAGAGGTTGCTAGTCTAGCATAAAATACACATTTACTTTTTTCTAATTCTAAAATGGCCTGAGTTTTCTATTTAGCTCAAAAGATTCTGAAAAATAATATAAAAATAAACAAATTGGTTACTAGAAAGACCTTTATACAAAGAAACAGTTTTATCCCTTTTACATTTTCCTTTGTTCTTCTTTTCCCCTTAAATCACTCACAAAATCCTAACCAATTCAGATAGGAAGTAATGCTTGATACTTATACCAGAGCATTAAGCAAAAGCCACCCTGCAAAGCTACATTTATCATGTTGTCCTGCGGCAGATGCGGAGGTCTTTTAGTTCTTTGTCTGGCAGACATTTTTAGAGTCTAACGAGGTGTTAACATTGCCTTTGACTCCTTTACCTATTATCCTTGGCTACTTACCCAGAATAGGTAAAAAGGATCCTATTAATAAGCAAACCCATCTTCGAAAAGTAACTTACAGTGCTGAGTAAGTACTGTATTTATGCTAAATGAAAAATTATCACGGATTTCATTTTTGTCTTTTGTCATTTATTTAAAAATAACTCCATGAGGAAAATTATCCTAGCAAATTCTTGAAACTGAATTTTCAGCCCTAAAGTGAATCATACATAACAGTGTAGGAATTGACATTAGTCCCAGTATCTAAGCAAAATCATGTTGGTGAGTACCAGATACACACATAAAGTCCTAGACAGAACTGAGATAGTAAAAGAAAAGGACAGAGGGAAATGAATCAGACCCGCATGTGTAAACGCCATATTGTCTCAGTGTAAGAACCTGAAAGAGTAACTAAAATCTGAAAGGCACAGTAGATATTGTGAAAGGGAAAGAAACTGCTCAATAGAAAAGAATAACTGGGATGAGGGAGAGGAGAAAAGAAAGAAATAATGAAAGGAAAAAAATATGTACATATACACAAGATGGCTAAGACAATTGTACTACTAATTTCTATTGGTTTATTGAAAGGAACAGGTAATGTCTAATTGTTTGATCAGTCTTGCATACCTATATCTGGTAATCTGAGCAACTACTTTGAAGATAACAGTAAGTAATATAACAACCATTATTGATTTCCTATGATCTTGTTTTGAAATTCTGTATCGTTTTTATAGTTTTTGTATTGTTTTATTTTTGTCCTTGTTTTTGTTACTTTGTTTTCATTCTTTATCCTTTAAAATAAAAAAAGTAAGGAAAAGGACAGAGAAAGATGAGAACAAGGGTCTGATAAAAAATGGAGAGGAATAAGCAGAAGGAATAGCACACATTCACTATCAACGTTAAAAAATCTATGAAGAATTGAGCTCATTTATGTTGTTATTTTATTATACATTATACTGTTATTATATGCTATGTATAATGTTATACAGTAATACTATAATTACAATTATTTTTAATTATATTTTAATTATAATATATATTGTAATTATAAAATATATTATATTACATTAATATGTTTGTTTTTTTGTTTTTTTCCAGTACCAGGGATCGAACTCACAACCTCGCGCTTGCCAGGCAGGCGCTGTGCCGCTGAGCTAAATCCCCAGCCCCTAATATAATATCATATAATTTATATTTTTATTGTAAAGAGACTAGTAAAAAAAACAATAGTAAAATACAAACAAAACAAAGCAAGAACATTAAAAATGATACGGGATTTCAAACCAAATGATAGGAATTAACAGTGATTGTTATATAGTGTTAACTTCAATGAAGTTGTTCAGATTACCAGATGTAAGGATGGAAAATTGATCAAACCATTAAAGAGAATAAGAAAATAATAATCTTTCTTTTTCTTCTTTTCCTCATCCCAGTTGTTCATTCCTTTGAGCAATTTTTTTCCCTTTCATATTATCTATTGTACACTTCAGGTTTTATTTACTCTTTCAGCTTCTTACACTAGGGAGACAATATGTTTACACATGTGAGTCTGATTTATTTCACTTATGAGTATGGTCTCCAGTTGCATCCACTTACCTGCAAAAGCCTCGAGTTTATCTCTTTTTATAGCTGAGTAATACTCCATTGTATAAAAATACCACATCTTTTTTATCCATTCCTCTGTTGATGGGCATTTGGGTTGTTTCCACGATTTAGCTACAACAAATTGTGCTACTGTAAATATGGGTGCACATATATTGCGGTGGTATGATGTTTTTAATTCTTCTGGGAAAATACCCAGACAGAGAATAGCTGGATTAAGTGAGCCTTCTAATCCCAGTTTTGTGGGGAATCTCCAAACTGATCTCCACAGTGATTTCACCAATGAACGCTCCCACCAGCAGTAGAGAAGGGTTCCTTTTTCCCCACAGCCCTGCCAACATTTGTGATTGGTGGATTTTTTGATGGTAGCCATTCTTACTGGGGTGAGATGGAATCTTAGTGTTGTCTTAATTTGCATTTCTCAAATGACTAATGATGTTGAACATTTTTTCATGTTGAATATTTTTTCATATATTTGTTTATCATTAGTATTTCTTCATCTGAGACGTGTGTATTCATCTCAGATACCCATTTCAAGTCAGGGATTATGATGCCTCCTGCCTTGTTTTTGTTGTCCAGGATTGCTTTTGCTATTCTAGGCCTCTTCTGGTTCCAGATGAATTTTTGAAATGTTTTCTCTATATCTGTGAGGTATACTGATGGTACTTTAATTGGGATTGCATTGAATCTGTACAACAATTTTGGGAGGATGGCCATTTTCATAATGTTGTTTCTTCTTATCCATGAGCACAGAATATCTTTGCACTTTCTGAAATTCTTTTCAAGCTCTTTTTTCAGAGTGCAATAATTTTCACTGTATAGATCTTTTACTTCTTTTGTTAGATTGATTCCTAAGTATTTCATTTTTTTACATGCTATTATTAAAAGTGTAGTTTCCCTAATTTCTCATTCTGTTTGTTGTTTGTGTACAGAAATGCTATTGATTTTTCAGTGTTGACTTTGTATCCAGCTACACTACTGAATTTGGTTATTAAATCTATAAGCCTTTTAGTGGAGTTTTGGGGGTCATCTATATACAGTCTCTTGTCATCTGCAAATAATGATAATTTCACTTCTTCTTTTCCTATCCTTATTCTTATCTCTCTCTTGTCTAATTGCTTTGGCTAATATTTCCAGAACTATGTTGAATAGGAGTGGTGACAGTGGACATCCTTGTCTTGTTCTTGATTTTAAAGTGAAAGCTTTCAATTTTTGACCATTTAGTATGAGGTTACCATTGGTTTGTCATAGATGGCTTTTATCAGATTGAGGTAAAGACCATCTATTTCTATTTTCTGTAGGGTTTTTATCATGAATGAGTGTTGGACTTTATCAAAAGCTTCTTCTGCATCAACTGAGATGATCATGTGATTTTTGTCTTTAGCTGTATTGACATGGTATATTACATTAATTGATTTGTGTACATTGAACCATCCCTGTAGTCCTGGAATTAATCCCACTTGGTCGTGGTGTATAATGATGATTCACTGTATTCTGATGATTCATATTCTTGATGATTCATTGTATTCTGTTTGCTAGTATTTCATTGAGAATTTTTGCATCTATGATAATTAGGGAGATTGGCCTGTAGTTCTCTTTTTTGGTTGGGTCTTTCACTGGTTTTGGTATCAGGATAATACTTGCCTCCAGGAATGAGTTGGGGAGAATTCCTTCCCTTTCAGTTTCGTTAAAGAGTTAGAGAAGAATTGGCATTAAATCTTCTCTAAATTTCTTGTAGAATTGGGCTTTTTTTCATTGGCAAGCTTTTATTACATTTTCAATTTTGCCAGCTGATGTTGAGTTATTCAGGATTTTTATATCTTCTTCATTCAGCTTTGGTAATTCATATGTATCTAGAAATCTGTCCATTTCCTCTGTGTTTTCCATCCTATGAGAGTAAAACTTTTCAAAGTAAGGATTTTCAGGCCCCCCCAGATCCCTAAAGCTGTCTGGGACTCCGCCAGGCTCCCACACTAATGGGACAGGGGCAGGGGCAGCTCACTGGCATTCCCGAGGCTGTCCAAGGTTCAGCTGGGCTCCTGAAGACGGGGGGAGTGCGGGGAGTGGCCCCCCAGGCCCCTGAAGCTGTCTTGGGCTCTGCCTGGCTCCCAAGCTGGTCTACATAATATTATATATTGTTATATTATTGTATATATTTATATTATTGTGTTATTATCTATTATCATTATGTATATTATATTATTATTCATGTTATACAACCCCAAAAATATTTATTGTTTTTTCCTCTAAGAATTTGATGCTTAGGCGTAGTCCCAATAGTTTTCGGCTGATTACAGCATCAGTCAACTTTCCTTTGCTGGATCAAAATACCTGGCACTTGAAGCTTAAAGGAGGACAGGTTTGTTTTGGCTCACAGCCTCAGAGGTTTCAGTCCATGGTTGGCTGGCTTCAAAGCAGGAACACTGTGGCAAAGGGATGTGACAGAGCAAAGCTGCTAACCTGTTGGCAGCCAGGGAGCAGAACACAGGGGAGGGGTGCCGGAGAGGAAGAGACTTGACAACCGGATAAACTCCCCAAAGTCTCATCTGCGTGACCCAGCCACACACGCCCACACTGTGCTTCACTACTCTCTGAGGTGGCTCTCAAGCCAGTCAAGTTGACGGCCAAGATTAACATTCACATTCACAATCACAGTCACTTTTACATTATGAGGACAAAATACCGACTTGTGCATCTTAAGGAAAAAAGGTATATTTAGGCTCGTGGCTTCTGAAGTTTGAGTGTACGGTCAGTCGGCTTCAAGGCAGAAACAGCACCGGGGAAGAGAGCTGCTCAGCCCGTGGCGACCAGGAAACAGAGAGTAAGGGAAGTGCCAGGGAGAGGAAAGGGACTGGGACAAGGGCAGATCTCCCAGCTTATACCCCAGTGACGCATCCTTCCCAAGGCACCACCTCCTCACAGCAGACTGCGCTACTCAGCACACTCAGCACATCGCTGCCCCCAGGATCTGATCACTCACCAAGTCTTCCCTCTGAACACATGAGCCCCTGCGGGGACATCTTTAGTCCAAGCCATCAAAAGTGTGAAGTTAAATACCCGTAGGTAGGCACGTTCATTCTTGCAGAGTCTTCTAGTAATGAAATTCCACTAGTAATGCTCAGGTATTCATGCTGTTCATAAAATAATCCTCTTGTATCTATGCTCACAGGACTATGGCCAGTTTAATAATTAGCTACTGTAAATGTTTCTCGTGTAATTAATCAAACCTTGTCATCAAGAATTAACCTGCCTTCTGCAGGAAAATGCACTTGGTGACCTGCCTCATCTTCCCTTGCCCTCATATTTATGATTTATTCAGCTGCATGACAATAAGGCTTACTATATTGTGAGCAGGAATTTAAGGAAAATGTGGTATTTAGTCCAAGTGGAAAAAAGCTGACTACTTCTTTGTTTTATCACATACCACATTTAATAGTGTCGTACGCCTCTTTACTGGTTTGGACTTGTCAGTATTGCAACTTAATATTGCCAAAGGAAGATTGATGTGTCAAAGAGAAAAATAATCAATGTTTGTGTTTTTCTAAAGACCCAAATATGCACTGTTAGATGAATGTACCAGCGCCATCAGCATTGACGTTGAAGGAAAGATATTTCAGGCTGCGAAAGGGGCTGGGATATCCTTACTGTCTATAACACACAGGCCTTCTCTGTGGTAAGTGTTTCCATCGCGGGCTGACCTGTGATGGATGATTTTTCTTTATGTTGTTTTAAAGAACTTTGCAAAACTTTTCACTGTGGAACATGAAGTATTTCACTTACTTTCTCGCCTGCACTCTAAGTGGTACCTTAGTCACATAGGACTTGGATGCTTCCATTCTCCTACCATAACTATGATGTATTATTTGGTCATTATCATTTTCTAGTAATTTTGAGAAGTTGTAGAAAAATCCAATAACTTATTTGAACTTAAAATACTTATCATAACCCTAGCATATCCTAGGAAATGAAAGAATATATTTATGTATTTTCATATCATTCTTTTAGTCCATTCTTTAAAATGGGGCGCGGGGGAGATATAGGACAACTTGATATTTCCCCAAGTGACAAAGTTATAGAACACATAGGAAGAAAAGCTTATTTTTATTTTAAGTAAAAATGAGCTGAACCAGGCATGGTGGCCTATAATCCCAACACTTGGGAGGCTGGGGCAAGAGGACCACTGTGAGTTCAAGGCCAGCCTGGGCTTCATAAGCGAGTTCAAGCCCAGCCTGCACTACATAGTAAGACCCTGCCTCAAAAAAAAAACAAAAAAGAGAAAAAATGAGCTGAACTTTTTATAAGTAATACTTCATGAAATTTAATGGCATTTCCCTCTTTTAAAAAGAAGCCACTATTTTTACAGCTTTCCTACTTTTCCATTGCTCTATTATTGTAGTAATAATATCTAATGAAGACTTAGCACCTGTTTTGTTGCAGGTTCATTTTCTATAAGCCTCATAGCAACACTGTGGAATATAAGTAGTCTAATTCTACCATTTTACAGTGAATCTGAGAATAAGAAACGTGAGAAAATTAGCTTACATGATAACATGCTGTGTACCATGATTCAGTGGTCCCCACTGGAAAAGAGCTCACAGTGTGTTTTAAACACAGCCATCAAAACACTTGTTCATTCCTACATGTGTATTTCTGCTGTATCCATCAAAATCTTTTCCTTTTGGCACATTAGTAGCTATATGACTCACTCTTGTATGTGCTGTGGCCTCCAGTTTCCCAAGGGGCTGCTCAGGCCACCTCCTCTTCCCCGTCCTCCTTCTCCTCTTCCTCCCCCACCCCTCCCCCATCCGCTCCCTGTATTCCCTCCCTCCTCCCCTCCACATTGTGACAGGTGGCTGATCAGATTCCGTGCCAAAACTGTCATCATACATGGCTACCAGACTAGACTAGTAGCAGTGTTTGTGCTCATCCTTGAAACCCTGTGTGCCTCTTTTCTTACAGAGAATGTTCGCATTGAAATTATGCGGGAACAGTATTTACTGTTTAGTGTTTTTTGACTCTAGGTTTCATTTCTATTGAAAGTATAATATTTGATTTAAACGTTCAGTTTTTTGAGAATGTTTTCTCCACCAGAGAGTGGATCTGAAAGTAGAGCACTTCCTAACGTGACCCTAACACTGAGGTTTCTCTCAGCATTGTTAAGAATCAGTGACACCTGGGATGATGGGATTTGCTAATCCCTCCAGAGGCAGTCTGGACCTAGTCCAGCGTGCGTTAGAATTCATGTCAATGGATATGAGTCTTCTGACTTTGCCTTGAGAAAATCAGCAGAACCTGGGTCTTTAAGCCAATTATGACATTCCCTATAAATCCTCGGAATTAGGGATGACCCAGACGCAGACCGGAACTGCTGAGCCCCTTTGGCCTGGACTTGTGATTTCCAAACCAGCTCCCAGATCCCACATGTTGGCATAAAACAGTTATCTCTTAGAGCTGGTGTTTTTCTGACCTTCATCAATGGCTTTATTATGCTATCCTGTCATTCTTTTCCTCACTCAATTAGCCTGAACAGACACTGGAAATATTTCAGTCATTGTTTTCTCAACTAGAGGAACAAACAGTTCTCTAAGCACATAGCAAAATTTGTAATGTTATGTCTTTTAACCAGGAAAACATATTTTAATTGCAGCTGCTTACAGTCCATTTCTTCATAAACTAAACACCATGTTAGTTCTTTGTGAATTAGTTTAATCATTTTACAGAAATTTGTCATTTCTCTTTTCTTATTTTCCTACTTTCCCTGACAAGTTTTCAGAAGTAAGAAAATATTCAGTATCTTTTCCACCATAGCAACAAATGGGTAATTGTTAATTATAAAGATTAAAATTGATACCGGTGTCTAAAGAAGTAAAACAATAATACCTTATTGAATTATTTTATTCCTGTGTTTTATCCTATTTGTAAAAGAAATCTACAGATCATCTCTAATGAGCCACAGTTAAAATAGTTATTTCTTTTAAATTATTATTATTATCCTAGACCTTGAAATACTATTTTAGCTAATAGTGTAGAACATGCCTTTGACTCTCAGGGCATGTGACTCCTACACAGTTTGTTCCTCCCATGTAGAAGTCAAGCCTCTGTAGGACCAGAAAGTGATAAAACCTTCATTATAGATTAAAAGTAGAGCTCACCCAAGGTATGAGTGACCACAACCTAAAATTGCTTCCAGCTGTGGATCTAAGGCTAGAGAAGCCTGAGAAAATTTGAGAAGGAAATAAATAAGATGGACTCTTGGCCGGTATTTCTCTTTATTATCGTATACAATACTGCTTTTGTTTTTCTATGTTGCCTTAAGTTTAATATTGTAATAGCAGGATTTTTGGCATTTTAAATTCGGTTTTGGGGTGGTGCCAGCTGTTAGGAGATCAGAGTTTTGGAACTCTGGAGAAACCAAAGGTATAAGGAAAAGACAAGTAACCTGTGTCACGTGTTATCAAATTTAAGCTTTCAGCTGGACAGTCCCCTACTGTCTCAGCTAAACTAGCTAAATTTCCCTTTTTGAAAACATCGGATTTAAAGAGGGTTAAGGCTGAGGGTTGTAGTGGTACAGCACTTGTTTAGCATGCACAAGACTTTGAGTTTGATCATTGCAAAAAAAGGGGGGTGGTATATCAGTCACGTTCTCATCGCTGGGACGGTCACCCACACCCACAACTTAGGGAGGAAAGGGTTATTTTGGTTCACAGTTTCAGAAGTTTCAGTCCATGGCTGGCGTGTTCAAGTACAGAAAGGAGATGCCAGAAGGGCCTGCCGTGGAGGGAAGCCGCTCACATCATGGCAGCCAGGAAGCAGAGAGAGAAGGAGGAGCCAGGGAGGGAGACGCCCCCTTCCAGGTCACAGCCCCAGCGGCCGCCTGTATCTCCTAACAGTGCTATCATCCACACTCATCAGTGGACCAACCCATGGACGAGAGCAGCTCCCCGGTGATCCAGACACATGAGGCTTTTGGGGAACACATTCCAGGTCTAAATCATAGCAGGGAAGGTATGGAATCCAGATGTCCATCAGGTGATGAGTAAACAGAATGTACAATGTCACACAAGGGAATATAATTTAGTTATAAGCCAGTGAAGTACTGACACATGCAAATAAATGAACCTTGAAATCATTTTGATAAGTGAAAGAAGCCAGTAACAAAAAGCCACATACTATATGATTCTGTGTACACAAAAAATTAGAGCAGAGAAATTCATAGAGACAGAGAAGAGATCAGTGGCTGAGAGGCCCTGGACAGAAGAAGACTTGCAAGAACTGCTAGTGGGTATGGGTTTCTATTATGGATGAACAAAATGTTCTGAAATTAGGTAGTGGTGATGGTTTCAGGAGCTTCTGCATTATCACTGAATTTTACTCTTTGAAGGGTAAATTTATGTCAGGAGAACTATATCTCAGGTTTTTAAAATAAAGAGGTAGAAACTTTCTGAAAAATGTTTACTGGTCTTCATAAATAATAACGGAGAGCTTCACAGGAAGCAGGAAGTAAGACATTTATAAAAGAAGACAGAAAAACTGAAGGCTGCTGGGCTGGTAGAGCAAAGCCCCCTGACACCATCCAGGGGGCTCGCTGTGGGACCAGCTCTCCACTTTACTCTCTCTACACATCCCCTAAAGATTAGCGGCCTCCGCCTCGGAGAAATGGATTGTCTCCTACAGCATCAAAAATAACCTTGCAGGGGTAGGGATGTAGCTCAGCGGTGCAGTGCCTGCCTGGCAAATGCGAAGCCCTAAATTCAATTCCCAGTACCCAGAAAGAAAACAGTAAAAATCGTCATCATCGTCATCATCATCATCTCATAGCACTGTGAAATTCCCACCTCTGTCACTGAGCTATGAAAAAATTAAATTACATGAAGATATGGAAGAATATTCAAAAGATTTCTATCAATGAGTTCATTTTTTAAAATGTCTTTAGAGGCTGGGGATTTAGCTCAGTGGCACAGCGCCTGCCTGGCAAGCGCGAGGTCATGAGTTCGATTCCCAGTACCAGAAAAAAACTAAAAATAATAAAATAAAATGTCTTTAAACTTAAGTTATTGAGAAATTTTTACTTCTGTAACCTCATTTCCAAAGAAAGGTAAAAGAATGAATCCATATTTTATTTCTTTTTTACTTTCTTTCCTTGGTTTCCTTTGCTTACTTCCATTCTGAGAATATTATTTAAGAAAGGCCCATACTAGGTTATAAAGACAAATTGACACACAAATAGCACGGTCTTCCTTTGTGATTCTTACACATTCAGGATAGAAATAAATTTCATATAATGATTGATAATATCCTAGAAATTAAGTTAATGACTTTGGAATCTTAGAATATTATGGTATTTAACTCCTTATAACAGCCTTGAAAATCAAGCGGAAACTCGGCACTTGACTTAAAATTTGCCTTTGACTATCAATTAGAATTATAAACCTATAACAAAAACTGCTTTTCACTATGATGGCGAATAACATTATTTTATTTTAATCATGCAGGAAATACCACACTCATTTATTACAGTTTGATGGTGAAGGAAGTTGGCGCTTTGAACAACTGGATACTGCTATCCGTTTAACATTGAGTGAAGAAAAACAAAAGCTAGAGTCTCAGCTAGCCGGAGTTCCCAAAATGCAGCAGAGACTCAATGAACTGTGCAAAATTCTAGGGGAAGACTCTGTGCTGAAAACAATCAGAAATGAGGATGAGACGTCCTGATTCATTTGACATGCTGTAAAGGTTAAGTTTTAGGTAAAGACTCACAGATGCCCTGTTACAATGCATGAGGTGTGTCACGCTAAGCACAGAAAAAACAAAGCCAGCAAGAAATATTTTATAGAACTTTAGCATCGGTGAAGCGGATGGCTTACCTTTTCAGAAGAAAATAAACAAATGCTTAATGTGAGATTAGTCATGATGGCTTAAGCTAATTCTTAGTGAGAGCCTAATTTACCTGTAAAACAGGATTTTCTAGGTGAATTCATGGTGAATATCAGATTACTATGTATAATGTGATGTGCCTGACATTTTTAACTTGAGAGATATCTTCGAAGTGCAAACTTATGAGCCGCATTTGGGCTGATACCAGGTGCGTAAGCATTAGGGCTCTGAGTACCATTTGAGTCTCTTCTCAATTGATACTAGGTTTAATAGCTATCATGTTTGTTATTGCTAGTGGCCAACTAAATCTTATACAAAATACCTGACAGTTTAACAAATAATCTCAATATAAAAAAATATTTCGAGGGCAGTGGTTGCGAGAAAAAAGTATGGCTAAACAAGTACACAATGGCATTTTTTAAATTTTTAAACTTTGAACATCTTAATGCAGGGACATGAAAAATAATTTTAATGAGACTCTTGCGTATTTCTTAATAAAACCTTTCATTTTTAAAAGAGAATTGCCAATATAGAAATAGGGTTTCCAAACAATGTTTGTCTCAGCCTGGTGTTTTGCTTAGCAGCATTATCTATTACAATTTCTGTCTAGAAATACTGCTTTATTGTGTGTGTGTGCCCGAAGGAGGAGTCCATTGGCGTGGGGTGGCGCATGCCTAGAATCCCAGCATTCAGAAGGCTGAGGGAGGAGGATCGCTGAGAGTTCTAAGTCAGCCTGGGCTACATAGTGAGTTCAAAGCTAGCCTGAACTACATAGTGAGACCCTGCCTCAAAAAAAGAAAAAGTACTATAATCAGTAGGTTCTTAAAATCACAATAATATTAGCATAGATTGAAATAGTACTTTAATCGCTTCTCGGCCTTTTGGCTAAGATCAAGTGGAATAGTACTTTATAATGTATAATCTCCATTTACATCGTTTCATTTTCATGTTTGTGGCAATCTTTTGAGACAAATTTTTTTTTCTATTTTGATATTGAGAAAAATTGGATCTCAGATGTAGCCTAATTATGCAGTTTAGTTAGGGACAGATCTGGGGATCTAGTGAGTGTCTCCTGACCCTGACTCACTGCTGCTACCACCATTAAACTGTATGTAACGGGTTCTAGTACTAAACTGAGGTGGGCTGGTCGACGGCAAGGTGAGGGCCAAAATAGTAAGAAGTATAAAAATTAGATGAAACATTGACAAGGAAATATATTTGGTAACGTTCTTACAGCTGTTTGGTTATTGTTTGCGGGAAATGTGGAAAGATCATTGGTATCTGTTGAAAATGGGCCAAGGGAGCTGGCAGATCTTTTAGCAACTCACCGTCTTCCTCAATATTAATGTACTTTGAGTAGCAGTAACTAGAAGGGCAGTGCATTACATTTTAGGCAAATTTATTACAAATCATTAGAAATAATACATATGTATCAGTCATATGAAATAGAGCCTACCTATTTGTGTGCCCTTGGAAATACAAAAGCCAGGACTGATGGTTTAATTTCTCATTCTCTATGCTACCTTGCTGATAGGCTGTTAAAAATTGGAAATACTGGTTTTATGTGTAATGTAGACATAGGCATAATAATTGCTACGTCAGTGATTCTTAGACTTTTTGATGACGTACAAAACTTGGAAGTCATTCATGGTGATTGTTATAGAACATCATAGAATTTCCACATTTTTAATTCTCCAAGAAAACTAGGACATTTTGTCAATAAATATAACTATCTTGTATAAAGATAAAATGCAATATAAAATAATCAGTATATTTGTCTAAGTTTTTCAGTTAGTATCATTAGCTGTTCATTTATCCCATTGTCTGCTGTTACTTATTATGAGGAAAGTGAGGCGGGAATTGAATATTTTTTAGAAGAAAGCATGGAACCAAAGCCTAAACTTGACAAAAACTACCTATTGACCTTAACATCTATATTAGCAGTTGCTCAGTTTTTACTGCTGAAAAGGAAAGCTTGAGACAAGCATCTAACATTACCTTTTAAAAGTTCAAAAAGAAAATGTTTTCACATGAAATATGCATACTTTTCATAATTAAAAAATTAAAACATGTAGGACCTGATATTTTATACTTTGAGACTGAAAATAAAGCTAAAACAAATGTTAGCTTTGTAATTACTTTTTATTTAATTTATGCTACCAATGAGCTAAAGTAGAAAATTACTCCTTTCTCAGCCTGCAGGATCAAGGATGTTTAAAGTTATGTACTAAAAACTCTACACATCGGGCTGAGCTCAGTGGTAGCGCATTTGCCCAGCATGTGTGTGGGCCCTATTGAACCCACAAGATACAACAAACCACAAGACACAGCAAACAAAAACTCTACACAATTTAAATGTTAAAGTTTTAAGACAAACGGGTGTTCTGTTAATTTTATGTGTGCTTATGCACACTCACGCATGTACATATTTCTTTTCCAGATGTTTTTCAGGACCAATAACCTCTAACCTAGAAGGGAAAAGACCTAACTAGAATTTGTATTTATGTACCGTTCAACTGTTTCCAAAACAATCTATGAATATGTCATAGTTTACAATTCATATAATGATGCCTTGTGAAAAACATGAAAAAGATTATGGAATTAAATAGCATCTATGAATACAACACAAAATAGATGAAGAAAGGAAAAAAATTTCAGATTTTAAACTATATTTTGTTATCTAAACCCTTGACGTATGTACTCTTTTGGTCAAAAAAGCTATGTTGGGGCTGGGGATTTAGCTTAGCGGCAAAAACACCTGCCTGGCAAGCGCAAGGTCGTGAGTTCCGTTCCCGGTACCGGAGAAAAACCAAAAACAAAAAAACAAAACAAACAAAAAAAAACCTATGTTTATGGAGCTTTATTATAAAATTATGTTTTGAGCATTAATTCAAGTGTGGAAAATAATCTGCACTCAATGAAAATGTCACATTTTATTCCTACAGCATGCATTGTTATGCTAGGCATGAATCTAAAATGATGTATGTTCTTATAAACAAAATAGTGTATAAAAATCTCTCTTGAGTAATCTCAAGAAAAATAATATATCTTGAAAATTCACCCAAACTTTCATGTCCTTAAAGTGGGAATGCTTTTGCCTTAACAGCAATTTCGTCTTTGTTTCAAGTTTCAGCCTGTCAGTAAAAGTATAAATGAACATGTTAGCTTTTACTTATGACATTGGTTCCAGGTAAAATTTCATATTTTGGCAATTGGCTGAGCCTATAAGAATGTTTGGAATAGCTTTTGATTCCATAAGCCCACAAGAGTTTGTTATACGTTTGAGCCCAAATCAAGAGACCTCTGTGCCATTCTGAGATGTACATAAAGAAGCAAAGATTATTAAATGATTGATGTAATTCCTTTATGAGCAGAAATCACCCTTATTCTGAAGACAAATCACTTTCACATAACTCAGGGTATTGACAGTTCTGCTAACACACATCTGGGTATGCTGACTATGTTTTGGAGTTGTGCTTCTATTTGCCAGATAAGAGCGTTCAGGAAGATGTATGAAATATTTCCACTGAAAACAAATCCCTCTTTCATTGTTGGTGGATTTCACAACTACCAAGTGCATAAGGCCTTACAGTTTTTATTGTAGAATTTTCAAAACCAATTTTCTACTTAGCAGCTGGCCTGTATTAACAACAGTGTGAAAAATGACCTTCATGGTAAAAATCACTACATATGTAAACAAGAAAGTGGCCGTATATGAATACATTATAATAGCATCTCTATTCAGTGTAGTTACTTGAGCTCAACATTCCTTGTGAATTCCTTAATCACCATGAAAAATCCTTGATTAATCAAAGAAACAACAAATAATACCAGTGATGGAAAATGCCCAGTGCTTCATGTGTCTGTGTTGAGCTTATGGGTACTCATGCCTCAATTATAAATTGTAGGATGCAAAACCTTGTGTGGCGTTGTACACAAGAGTCATAAAATTTAATTGTCTTTTTAAATTCTAAACCTTTATTAAGTTCTAATTTATACCAGGCACTGTGCTAAGTTCTAGGAATAAATAAAATATGGTCCCTGTCACAAGCTTACAGTCCAATGAAAATAAGAAAAATAAGCATACTCAGTCACAAAGAAAGTAAAGCTATGCTTATTATTTATCAAGTGAGCACAAAACATTGCTACGTTAACTCATCAAAGCTTCACACAACTAATTCACCAGTGAAGACAGAAGGGTTAAGTAATTTATCCAGCTTCTTACAGTACCCAAGCTATAGACTGAAATTTAAACCTAGCAATGTCTGATTAAAAAGCCTATACAATGCTGTATCACCTTCCTTTTAATTATTGTAGGCCATTCATTATTAACCTTCCTCGTGGTAGTGAAGATTGAACCCAGGGCCTTCAGCCTGAACTGCATCTGCAGCCCTTTGATATTTTGTTTACTTGTCTATTTTTGAGACAGGATTTCACTGAATTTCCTAGGCTGGGCTCGCATTTGTGATCCTTATGTATCAGCCTTCTAAAGTGATGGGACTGCACATGTACCATGATGGGATTGTATCTTGAATTATGATTAGCATTTTAAATTGAAATTTCAGTGTGTGTATGGTGGGGGATAACCAAACCAATATATTTCTCCATTTTAAAAGAGAATTCATGTAACATAAGTTATAATTTTCAAAATAAATTGTGGATGTTTCATTATAAATTATGACTGTGTCTTGGCCTTTTGGCTAAGATCACGTGTAGTCATTATAAGTTATGGGGTGAGGCAAACATAAGGCAACTTTTCGGATGTTTTGAAGAAGAAATGTTCAAACTGATTCTAATTCAGTCAGTAAAAGCTGTCACGTCCCAGGTATCATGAGACAAGCAAACAGACTGGCTCTTTGCACCAGGCACTGTTTGAGTAGATCAGTACTGAACAGTGATAAAAGCCTGTTGGATGTTGTGGTTCCATATGTTTGTTTTTTAGTATCTTTTCAGTTCTTGTTGTATGTCCTGCTAAGACCATTCTGGTGTAACCTTTAAGCAATAAACATATTTTGGTAGCAGGATTCTCTTCATTCTGGGCATGATTATCCTCACACTCCATTTTAGTCTACTTTATAAGGCAAGGTAAAATCAATCCATTGGACTTCGCGAATAGGAACCCATGCAGTTAGTATATTGTCTTGATACATGGGAAATATCATCTGCAATCCAGATCACGTAGAATAAGTCAGATTTGTACACACAAAAGCATATTGCTCATTTTAACACAGAATGCAGATGGCAACTATAGCAAGAAAATTAGAAAAGAAAAAGCAGTAATCATAAAAGCTAATAAACAAGACTCCCAAGTTAAATACGTGAGTGTGGATGTACCCAGTGCAAAGGACCTGGGTTTGATCCCCGGTATCACCTAAAGAAGAAAGGTCTGCCTTAGTTCCTGTGATCCATACAAATGGTAAGGTGATCAAGTACCCACCTCATGTGTGTTTGACTCAATGCCTAAAAGATTCCATAACAATAAAGCAGTATACCATTGTTAAATACAAAGTATATTAACTTGGCCTTAAATTTAATCCATAGAAGAGGGAGGCAACTTTACATATAAAATACAATTCATCTTTATTGAATGTACTGATAAAGTATATTAGGCCTAGTGATTGTAAATATGTATAAAACTAAAGAAGCATGTTAGGACTCACAAGAGTCACAAAAGGTCTTTTACAGGGAAGGTGGCAATAATGAGACCTTTTTCAACATGCAGATACTAAATCTAGGCCTGGTTCCAACTTTCCTTTGTTTAGGTTACCTTGTTGCTCAGTACGGGCCAAGTCTCCAAGTTCCTTATAGACAGGGTCTACATAAATGAGGTTAATGAAGACCCAAGCAGATACCTGTTTTTTCTGCAACCTACATACACGCGCGTGTGCGCGCGCGCACACACACACACACACATTATTCTTCAGAACTCACAGATTTTGAGGACTTAACAATAGAGTTTCTTTTTTACTGTAAAGAACATGCAACAAAAATTTTCTTCTTTAGTGTTTTTTAATGTATAGCTCAGGAATCTTAAATAATTTGCATGGTTGTAAAATCTCCAGTAATCTAAAACCCTTTATCCATTAAACAACTCCTCTTTTATCCCTCTGTTCAGCCCCTGATAGCTACCATTCTATTTCTATGAATTTAACTACTTTAGATAAGTGGAACATGCAGTGTTTGTCTTCAGTTACGTAATGTCCTCAAGATTAATCCATGTTGCAGCATGTGACAAGATTCCCTTCCACAGAGGGTGAATAATGTTCAGCCATATTTTGCTTTAGGTGCTCCTTATCCCTCTCGGCAGTTGTGGGTAGAGTTTCATGAACATGAGAGCACAGTTACTTCTTTGGTTCACCCAGCAGTGAACTGCTGAATTTGACATGTCTTTGTGGGGTCACCATACAGTTTCACAGAGGTTGCACCATTTTATGATCCTACCAGGAGCACACAAGGGCTCCAGGTTTTTCATGGCCTCACCATTTGTTATTTTTACTTTTCTGAGAAAAGAGCCATCCTAATGGGCCTGAAGTGATAGCTCTGTCAAAATTAGTGATGCTAGTATCCTTTAACATGCTATTGCCCATGTGTGTATCATCTTTGGAGAAATATCTTCAAAGCTTTGCCTGAGGAGTTTGTTAGGTTGTTGAAACTTATTTCGTGGCCTACCATGATCTAACTCAGTCTCTCTCTCTCTCTCTCTTTTTTTTTGTATGGGAATTGAACTCAGGACCTTGCGCTTGCCAGGCAGGTGCTTATGCCACTGAGCTATATCCCCAGCCTCTAGCTGACTCAGTCTCATTCCCCTGCTTCCAAACAGCTGTCTCCTTTTTCCTTCCTTTATTCTTCTGCTGTTCATTCCCTTGGCTGGGC